TTTTTAACATTCTTTCATTATTTTGCTAAATCTTGTGGAATGTTGGATGAAAGCACTGTTATGTTATTAAATGTTTACTTATTTATTCAATAACATTGTTTTTGTGGCTTAAAGTTATTGATCATAGAAAATATTAATTCGATACCAAGAAAATAGTGGTGTTTTTCAATTCTTCCTTTATTCGTGTGCTCCATGATTTTTGATGATTTTTATGCTTCGTAAGATTAACTGCTTGAGTTGGAACATGAAAAAGTAATGTTATATTTATTTCTTTTTATAGGTTCCTGAAAGCTGTGATATTGAATTATTATTATAATGCATCAAGTTTTATTCCTTCCATATTTGGAGCATCATTGCAACGGCCTAGATTTGTGCCAGGTATTGTATTCGTTTTCTGTTTTTATGTGCCTTGGGTTTTTATGGCTTATTTGATGTACTTTTGGTTTTACCATAAGACTGTAAGAGTATGCCTGGATCTAAAAGTTGCGGTTTGCGATGTTTTATTTTGCGTTCACTAGTATTATGCTCAAACGCATGCGGTTTGTAGAGCAGTTGATGTGTACATTTTGTTCAAAGATTGCCTTAATAGAAGACAACTGGATCATCTATGTGCTGAAGTTGGAGATGATTCTAAATTCGCCTGTAAAGTTTAAGTTGTGGAAACTACTGAGAAGATTGTAAGGTATAACATGGAGTGAGTGTTACAAAGATAAACGAACAAATTCAAACGGAATATTCCGCATGGTACAAACCTGAATATGTACATGCATGAAATTGAGATTTGGTCATGCAACAGAATAGATTTTGAAATTTGTGGCTATGAGAGCTTTAATTCTCAACCCATTGTTTACATTGGTTTCTAACAGGTAAACATGGAAACAAGATGCACTTAGATGGTGAAGCTAGGATTTTCTTGTACCAGCTAGTTGGCACCTGGGGCCAGCTTCTCTTTCCAAAACCCTGGAAAGAGTTCCGGCTGTGGTATGACATACACAAAGCTAAAGGCATGAGGCCGTTCTTAGATGGAATGGTATGTCTGTTGATTACCACTATTTTTCCTTTGCTTCCTCTCATCCTAAATTGATACTGAGTATCCAGCTTATTTAGAGGAGTATATTCAATTGGGATTCCAAGTGACATTTTGAGACTTTTTAATAAGATTTGAGATTTTTTAAGATTTTCAGATTTTGGAGGAATTATGTGAAATCTTTAAGTCTGTAGGTGGGATTTTGTGTAAGGTTTTTTCTTTAGAGATCCCACCAAATCTTAAAAAGTCTTAACAAATCCTAGTCTCAAATAAGTTAAATACCTCATGATTTTGTAAGACTTTTTGAAATCCAAATTGAATACCTCAAGACTTTTAAAAGTCTTAAACAAATATAAAAATTGAATACACCAGGATTTCTAAAGTCTTAAAAAGCATTTAGAAATCCCAATTGAATTAGTTTCTATTATTTTTTCCTCGGTAATTACATATCTACCCTTAATGTTCTGCCTATTAACAAAAACTTCATTTGTGTTTACAAGTTACAAATGTTCTTCTAGTTCTAACAAGCCCCATTGAGGTTTGTTGGTATTTAGGCTAACTTGAGTAATAATTTTTATAGCCTGCATGTTTTCTTCCTTTGAACTAACAACGACTTTTTTGTGAATGTTTTTAGGTGACAACTGGATGGTACAAAAAGCTTGGGGACAAAATCTGGACACCCTGGTTTATAAAATTCGTCCATTCTCGTGGGTACTTTAATATCTACACTAATTTTCTTCACGAGAAGGCACTCAGCATCTCTCATAGGGACGCTGGTGTGAATTATGGAAAAACAGCAGGGCCAGATTCATATTTACTGGATGAAAGCTCTATTGATTTCAACTTAGTGGAACTTTACCCTCTGAACAGTCTCAAGTGGTATGACTTCTGTTTTAGGGAAGTACTCCGCAATAGAATTGTAAAGAGCTCGAATGACTATGAATCCATAATTCCAACTGTACAGAAAAGCAACTCTATTATACTATTGAGTGTGTACAGAAAGCCGGAAATGATTATAAAGAATATTCTCTGCCACTTTGAGAAGCTGAACATACAGAACTATCTCTTAATCGGCCCAACTTCTGATTTTCAATTCAGTAGTAGATGCAAGCGAGTTTTCAGACTTTAGTCACCTTGCCAAGTCCATTAATCATCAAGATTCGACTTTGGACCTGATCAAAGAGATTCTAGTTAAGGCATATGTTACCGAAAAAAAGTCTCGAACTAGGTTACGACACATGGTTGCTAGATGCTAGCACGATTCCGATAAGTGGTGACTCATTTCTCGATTCCTTTGACCGTTCAAGTGACTTTTATCTTGGGAAGAGTACTCGACTTCTATTTTTCAGGGGCTCGTCATCTGCTTCTAAGATTTGGGACGAAAATTTCCTGTATGATATTGCTTCACTAGTGGATCCACTAATAAAAGATTCGGTCTCTCATGACTCGATTATTTTCCATGCAACTGAGAAAATATTAGAGAAGCAGAAAGTAAAAGTTAGCAGTGTTGATGATATGCAGCTTGCTTTTGACATCAGCGCAGTCCATGCTAACCAGACTTTGGTGAGGATGAAAAATAAATTTGTATTCTGGTCTTCTGAAGAGGAATTGGATAAAGTACGAAGGAAATTAACAGAACTCGACATGTGGGTTGTGGACAGTGATTTTTCATGTATTAGGGTCTTCTGTCACCAGTTGTAGAATCTGGTGGTATTGTTCATCTTCTTTGGGATTGATAAGCATGGAACATTAAATAATGTTTTGAATGAATCGGCATCAATAGTGCACGGGTTTTATTGGATGGAAAGCAGATGAGGGAGCCCTTATTCGCTTTAGACTAACTATGAAAGCAGGACATGTGGAAAATGGGCAATGAGAATATATTTTAGTAGTGTTAATGTCTGTAATGGTTGAAGCTCATTGGGAAATATACTGGGGTTTAAGAGCAGAAACAGTAATGAAAGGTGATTTGAGAATGTTGAGCTGATGTTGCCTTCTTCTTAAAGGCCTTGTATCATTTTCATGGTTTGTTGTGGTAAGTAGGTTACGAGTTACGAGGTTGTTTGTGTCTTTAACGGAAGATTATACGGAAGCTTGAGGCCTTTTTTAGTACATTAGTTCAAAGATTTATATAAAAAAAAAAAGGTCACGGTATTGGAGATTATGATTGAATATAATATATGTGTAATGATTGCTAAGCTTGATATAATATAAATATAGTAAAATATTGGTTGATAATGAGCAACGGTTAAATATGTAAGTAGGTGAGTAATACTTTTTGTTGGAAAATAATAATAATAACAATAAATACTATTTTTAATTAATAATTGTGCTAATGGGATTGTGAAAAAAAATTGAAACAAAAAGAATACTATTTTGTTTTCTCTGAAAAAAGCAATTTATTTTTTCAATAAAATATGTCTTAGCTTATCATCAAACAAAAATGAAAAAAAAAAAATATAGTATTTAATCGCCACAGATTTCATTTATCATAATATTCTCAAACAGATTTGCTATGGAGCCATCGGATGGCCCGACTTATGGAGCCATCCACAGTTAATCACAAATAGTGTATTGACACGTGTCCTACAATAAATACACTTTGGACATGTGTCAATACATTAAGTGATGGAGGGCTCCAAAGCAAATCGTCCGATAGCTCTATAAAATTTTTGCTTTATTGTAACCCGTTGATTCGGTTGTACTTGTACATTCTTGAGTTTTATTTATCTAAAAAAAATGAAAAAAAGAAACCACTAGATTTCTCTTTTGAATTATTTATTTATTTAAAAAAAATAACTGGAAAAAAAAAGAGTGGAAAAAAATAAAAAGAAACGTATTTTTCAAATTCGTTTTTTTCCTAAAAAATGAATTTTTGAAATTCATTTTTCTTAATAAAACGTATTCTATGTATTCGTTTTTCTAAAAAATAATTTATTAACATAATTAATGTAATTAAGTTAATTAAATTAACTAAAAATTATTTATTAACATAATTAATGTAATTAAGTTAATTAAATTAAAAATTATTTTTTTTAATTATAAAACGGATTATTTATATATGTTTTTTTAAATAAAATTAATTTTAAAATTATTAAAAATATGAATTTTCTGTATAAAATAATTTCGGAAATATAAAACGGATTTGTCAAATACGTTTTCTTTGTAAAATCAAATTTTCACCCAAAAATTGATTTTGCCCTAATTTTGACCTAATTTTGCCCTAATTCTACATAAAACGGATTCATAGAATACGTTTTTCTCTGCAGAATAACGCAAAATATTTTTTTGGATCCATTTCACAACCTGTTCAAGCAACTAATATGAATCAATTCGCTCAAAATAATCCAACATACATTATATACAAAAAGTCAACAACAATAATTTATTCAAAACACAAATATCAGTATACAGAATGAAAAAAAAAAATTAACAAATATGTTCACAAAATTTCTTGAATACAATACAAACTAATTCGGAGTGTATCGATTCGTATGATTGCGCTGTCGTTGGCTGATCCGACGTTGTGGTCGTCGTGAAGAAGACGATGCTGTGGGCGTGACATGTTCTTCTTCTTCTTGTTCTTCTCCACCTGAGTAAATAATTTTTTTAAAAATCACAATAAATAAATAAATAAAATAAATAAAATTATTTTTTTGTTAAGTTAAAAATTTTCACCTTCTTCCTCTTCCTGAGGCCCGGTGTCGGTAGCGGGTTGGCGGTCGTCGTCTACTTCCACCAATGTTGGAAGCAGGTTGATGCCTCGCCCGGTGTGACTGCGTCCTCTGGGATCGGACGTAGCTCTCCTTAGTTAGAACTTGGCTCGACGACGGCCCTTGTGCGACCTCTCCGCCTCCGACAGTCATAGTACTGTAGAGAAGGCTCTTGGCATGTAGGATTGCGGCCTGTATCTCTGGAGGGACTGTATGAAATAGGTGGTCAACATTCGCTAACGTGTGATAAGCTCCCTCCATGGCGGTAGCCTGAAAATTAAATTCAAAGTCAATTAGAATGAAATACAAACTAATAATAATAATAATAATAATAAACACAAATATATATTATTTACATCGCACTTCCCCTGCTCGGCAAGTGGGTGAAAGCCTCTGTCCAGTTGGGCCACCGCGTACTTGGTAGGGTCACCGAGTAGTCTCACAGTGATACTGTGAAACCAATCAAGGTAACCCGCCTCAGGCTCAATGAATGGCTTCACTGCGAGGGCTGGGACAACATTTTCGTCTCTATGTTCGACCCAAGCATTCCCAAGCTCTCCGTGAAAGGCGACCCAATCAAAAACCTGGCCTCTCAGTCATCCCCTGGCCTCGATGGTGTAACTGATATTGGGTCTCAGTCGTAATGATAGGAGGTTCGGGGGTGGACTGTCGGCACCCGAACTGACGGAGGACCCTATCAGGCAGGTGGAGTTCACGGACGTTCCAGTTGAAGATCCACCCCCTATACATCTAGAGGTGTGAACCTTCTATACACTGGGCCAGGAGAACATTCCCTTGCAGGTGCCACTGATAGGGTAGCCAATCGAACTGAAAAAAAAAAAAATTGAATGGACAAAGAAAAATTGAATGGACAAACAACAAATAAAAAAATAATAATAATCTTACATCCGTCTCTGTGAGACCTGTCAATTGATCCCGGGTGGTGGTTGTTCCCTTGCCCAGGTGTGTTGTGGTCCTCTTTCCCACCCACCTTAAAAATCACAGTAAAAAAAAAAAAAAACAATTTGTAATCACAAAATTTGATAGTAGAAATAATGTAAATATTAAATATAAATAAATTTTATTACCTTTCACCTAAGGGACAACCAGGGACTCTCTCAAAGTTCGTATCCCTCATTCTTGGGCGAATACGAGGGATACGTTCATATGCCCAAACCTACACATATCGACATATTCATTTGTTATTAGATATTAGTCTAAATTAGAAAAAAAAAAATGAATTTTGAAATAACAAGCATATAAATTTACCTGCATCAGTTGGACACAATTCTTGATCCAGTTTTCCCTGGACTTGGCGCTCGTGCAGAGCGCTCTATACACTCCGGCCAGGACCGCCGAACCCCAGCTGTATGTTTTGATCGTATCGATGTCGTGCAAAAGCTGCAACCAGTAGAGGTTCACTCCATTGCCCCTCTGGTCGGGGAAGAGAAGCAACCGATACACCAGAGTATAAGGGCCTTCGCCCTCGCCTCGTAGGTGAAGCAATGCTCTCCATCGGCTAGCTCTTTGTTGCACTCATCTTCTAACGCATAGGCCTTCAAATACTGGCCTGTAATGGCCCAAGTTTTGGGGTCTTGAACCGGTTCGTCGGCCTTCTGAGAGTGGTTTCTATATATTAAAAATTAATGAATGGAGTAAACATAAATAAATTAAAAAAAAAATTGTAAGAAAAAATTTACCTGAACATAGGGCTCGAACCCTAACTCATCATTACAAATTTCTTGCCATTTAAGGGGTGTGTTATCTTGAGTCGCTCCCCAACAAGGATCTCCATCGATCGGGAGACCAAAAAGGACTTGTACGTCCTACAGCGTGATGGTGGCCTCGTCGAAGTCAAAGTGGAAGGTATGCGTCTCCGGTCGCCACCTTTCCACTAGACACGTGACGAGGCTGTTGTCGGTCATAACTCTGCCTATTCGAAACAACGGGCCAAACCCCGTCCTCTCGATGGCACCCCAAACTCTGGGATGCTGGTGATCCAACGCCTTCCAGAACTGAGTGTCGAAACGGCGAGGTTTAATGACGCCGTCACGACATCCGTCTATATCTTCGAATAGTGCATTCGACCGATGGCAGTACTGAAGATATAGAACGGACGGATCCCTCGGACCGGGATGTACATTGAAGCGCTGCGGTTGTGAGGACGACGAAGATGTCATTTTCTGCCAAAAAAGAAAAACAATCATTATATACTACATACTACAAAAAAAAAACAATAATTAATCAAATTACAATAATACAATCATATTCACAAAAAAAAAAAAAAAAAAAGTCCACAAAAACACAAATAAATTAAATACACAATAAATTCACAAATTCACAAATCATATACACAATAAATTAAAAATAATCCCCAATCAACAATTCAACTTCCGACAAAATCCCAATCAACAATTCAACTTCCGACAAAATTCCACATTCAAACATATTCTATAAATTTACAAATAAATTGACCTCATCGCAAATTCACAAATGTTCAACAATCCCTTTGAGGCATTTTATCGAACACCTTCAAATCATAGATTTTCAAACTACAAAACCTTAATCAATTTCTAAATAACCCATCAAATTATCAAACAAACACAATCAAACAACCCATCAACATATCTCAATCCATAACTGAATCCAATTCAAAACTCAAATTGAAAACCCTAATTTATAATTATTGAAAAAATAGGTATATTACAAACTATATACTATATACTACAGTATACTATATACTATGTTATATGTTATGTTGCATATTACAAACTATATAATATATACTATATGTTATATGTTATAAGTTATATACTATATACTATATACTATATGTTATATACTATATGTTATATACTATATATTATATGTTATATGTTATTTGTTATATACTATATATTATATACTATATACTATATGTTATATGTCATATACTATATACTATAAATTTTATGTTATATATTATATATTTTTTTTTTTTGACGAAACGATAGAAATATTATAATTCAAAATGCACAAATGTGCAAAGTATAACCCAAGGCTGAATAATACAGCCAATGGCTGTAAGAGTGGGAG